CATCTCAACCGCACACTTGGTGTGTGTGCAGAGTTGTGCACTCATTCGTCACCTGGCCCTTCCCAGAAATGTCTGCAAGGACATAGGCCACCGGCCAGAGGGCTTGAAGGGCCTTCACACCCCGCCCAACTTCCCATGGAGGAATCCTCTTCAACAACTAATCCTCTACCTATAGGGAAGCTAGATTAACTCCAAATAATCTCTCTCAAAACTCTTTAAGTAAACATAGTGTTTCAAATAACCCGCAGCTATTTTCAACTCCCTTCTGGCAGAGGAATTTTCTTTCTAGGCTTTTCTAGGTCACCTGACTGGCCCTGGGTATGCCAAGATTGCCTTGAGTCACTCTGCTTCAAAGGAAGCGCAACCTAAGACGGTCTCAAAACAGTTCCAACATCAAAGTCCATGCAGCTTCCTCTACCGCAGGGATGCTGGGATCCACAGGCCGAGTCTACACAAGCTCAGGGAACTTCAAAGAGCTGGCCCCCAGCCAGCCACATTTGTGCTCAGCTGCCTCCTATCCTAGTCAATCCTCCTCGAGGAAGAAATGCAGGCATTCTTTACAGGAGAGATCCACACTCGGCCTTCCTATAACCTGCGTGGGTGAGTCTTAGTGTTTTCAGACCTTTTCAGTGTAGTTCTAAAGGACATAGTAGGTGCTCAGCAAACATTTCCTTACTACAAGAATACCTGAATCAGGCAGCTGCTCCATGGGCACGCTTTTCCCCTTCTGCCTCTGATGTTCTCCCAGCACTCACACTAGAGGACCCAGCCCCTCGCTCTGTGCCATCAGCATCAGGAAAACGTGGAGAAGAAACACTAAAGGAGCATGAGCATCAGCTCCAGTGTTGGAGCTGGAGAGGTCTCCCCACAGCTGAGAGACAGGGACTCCACGGGTGACAGCACACACAGCAGATGAAGCCTAAACATGGCCTACCGAGCTGCCCTCTGCAGGGTTTTCACATTTTCTCATGGGGCAGAACACACTAGAACATCATGGTGCTCTTTTTGAAGTATCACACTGAGTTTGCATGACATGGCATAAAACAGGATCTATTCAATTCTATAATACAAATTAGGAATCACTTCACTGCAGAAAGTGTTACTATATATACATATATATATTCCCCCCCGCCAAGAAATTTATTTCTTCGGGGCACCTGGGTGGCTCAGTCAGTGAAGTGTCTGCCTTTGGCTCAGGTCATGATCTCGGAGTCCTGGGATCAAGCCCAGCATCAGGCTCCCTGCTCAGCGGGGAGTCTGTTTCTCCCTCTCCCTCCTTGTGCTCTGTCTCTCTCTCAAATGAAAAAATAAAAAATCTTTTTTTAAAAAAAGAACAAAAATAAAAGCTATTATTGAAACACTTCCCTTTAAAAACTCAACCAAGGGCCTATATCACACACAAAAAACAAGTTTAGGAATTTTATATGATCATTTAAAAGTCTGGCATTAACAATAACATAATTTAACTGTTCATTTGTCTTTCCATGTAATGTTTACTAACAAAAGGTAAGAAAAGATATGAATAATTTGGGGCACCTGGGTGGCTCAGTGGGTTAAAGCCTCTGCCTTCAGCTCAGGGTCCTGGGATCGAGCCCCACATCGAGCTTTCTGCTCAGCAGGGAGCCTGCTTCCTCCTCTCTCTCTGCCTGCCTCTCTGCCTACTTGTGATCTCTCTCTGTCAAATAAATAAATAAAATCTTAAAAAAATATATATGAATAATTTATAAAAGAAAAACTCAAAACTGGGCAAATCCTATCCAGTTAATCTATTTTTCAGGAAACTTGGAAGAGACCACTGGACACAGCAGAGACACACCCAGGCAGCATGTGGGACATCAGAGCACCACAGAAGCTGATTTAAGTCAGGGAGGCTGAAACAGGGAAGACGGCTCCACATGCAGCCCCTAACTCTGCCCCTGCCAATCCTCTCCCAAGAAGCAGATCCAGGCCCACACAGGCCTTGGAGAGCCATGGCAACCCCCCTTAACTCAGGAAGAAGGGAGACCCCAGGTCCCACATCCCCTTCCAGGGCACCTGCTAGGTCAGTCCCCTTTTCACTCTTACTCTCTCATAAGTGTCCAGTGCAGTTTTCTGGAGGCTACATGATGAGCAACATTGTAGCAGACTAAGCAAACAGAAAAATCCAGCTCTTTCTAGTGAGCCAGACAGTAAAGAAATCTGTAAACAGTGTAAAACCGTGCCACGGTTCTCTTCTTTTTATTTGGAAAAATAGTTATTTTTTTCACAAAATATGGTATTTATCTTAACATGTAATAGGTTTATTTTTTTAATGAATTAATGACTATTTTAAATTTTTTTCTTTTTTTTTATTTTTTAAAAATATTTTATTTATTTGACAGAGATCACAAGTAGGCAGAGAGGCAGGCAGAGAGAGAGGGGGAAGCAGGCTCCCTGCTGAGTAGAGAGCCAGATGCGGGGCTTGATCCCAGGACCCTGGGATCATGACCTGAGCTGAAGACAGAGGCTTAACCCACTGAGCCACCCAGGTGCCCCTAAAATTCTTTTTTTTAAAGATTTTTAAATTTATTCATTTGAGACAGACAGACAGACAGACAGACACAGACAGAACACAAGCAGTGGGGAACTGGAGAGGGAGAAGTAGACTCTCCGATGAGCAGGGAGCCTGACGTGGGGCTCAATCCCAGGACCCCAAGATCATGACCTGAGCTGAGGGTGTACGCCTAACCAATTGAGTCACCCAGGAGCCCCCAAAATTCTGTTTTAATTCCTACCATGGTAAAGATTGATAGCTGTAACTCACATAAACAAAAGCTCCTTGAGGTCCTCAACCAATGTAAAGAGTGTAAAAGGTTCTACAGATCAAAGAGTCTGGACACTGCGGCTCAGCTGGCCGGAAATGCCTAGGCAAAGACCGAGAACAAGGGAGACCCCAAGCAGCTCACCTCGCTACAATGCCAGGGTGAGCTAATCCATTTATACTTACTGCCTTATGCTCTAATAATTATTTTGTTTTGAAGATCCTGGAACTCTCATTAATCGGGACTAGGTCAATCCCATTTAATCAATGTAACACACCAACTGGTCGCTTAAATTCTGGGATCCTTTACCCTCTGTTTTGGGGAAGGGAGGAATATTGTGTTGCCAGACATTTAGTCCTGACTGAAGCGTCTCCAATTCCAGCTAAACTACCTGGAGTGGTCATAGAGAGTTTCTCAGTGTCAGATATCCTGAAAACACCCTGAAGGGATCTTTAGTTTGTCCATGTGGCAAACCATTCACATCTGCCCTCAATATTGTTTTTAAAAGAAAGTCATTTTTTTCTTTGTTACAAAGCAATAAAATGAAAACTTTTTTCTTCCACCCCTTGTGCTCCTGAGCACATACCCCCAATTTAGAATATAAATTACAGAAATGTACTTTTGTACCAAAAAATTCATTAAATTCAAAAACACACAAATTAGAAATTTGTTAACAGGACAATGTAAATAATAAATTAAAGTATTGTTTTAGTTATTTATTTAGTTATTTAGTTATTATTTCAAAAACTGCTTCACTATAACATTTTTATTTATTATTTATATATTGACATAGTAAGGACAGTGTTATATATATGTATGTGTGTGTATATATATGCATTTTTTTAAAAACCTCTGGTACTGGGGCACCTCCTGGCTGGCTCAGTCAGTACAGCATCCAGCCCTTGTTGTCAGGTCGTGAGTTCAAGGCCCACGTTGGGTGTAGAGCTTACTTAAAAAAACCAACAAACCAACAAACAAAAAACCAGGGGTGTCTGGGGAGCTCAGTCAGTTAAGTGTCCACCCACTGATCTCAGCTCAGGTTTTAATCTCAGGGTTGTGAGTTTGAGCCCCAAGTTGGCCACATAGAGCCTATTTAAAAAACAAAACAAAACAAAACAAAACACAACCCTGGTCCTAATTGCAGTTTATTTAGGTACCAGTGGTTGTCGCCATGGGGAAGAAAAATCTCAAAGATAATATATGGATCCAAACAGAAGAAGTACATCTTTAGCTGCAATACCAAATCACAACACTTGCTTTCTGATCTACCAATGAGTTGTTAGAGGTCTGTCTTCATGTACTGCGAGTTTAAAATGTCAATAAGCTCCAAGTGCTGATTTTAATAGCTAATAATCTCAAGGTATGATATGCTCAGTGTGAAATCAATCACTAATAAGAGGCACACATCTAATAAGCTGAAGAACTAGGGTTCAAAGCCAAAAAATATGATTCAAAGTCAGGCCATAACCCTTGTTGCTCGAAGTGTGACACACAACCAGCTACATCTGCTAGGAGCTTATTACAAATGCAGAGTCCCAGGCCCCAGGCCAGAAGTACTGACTCTGATTCTGCTTTTGAACTAAATCCTCGGATGATCTGTGTACCTACTAAAATTGAGACACACTGCTCTAGAACACATACATATTTTTAAAAATTGCCTGAATGCTTAGTATCCAAGAACATCTGACTACAGATGCTCCCTAGAGAGTTCAACTTCATATAGTCCGATATCTAGACATTCTTACAAGCCTGAAATGACTTCTATTTGAAAGAGTCAGAGACCTAAAATGATCTGTTTCTCTAGATGGCTGTTTTTTTTACCACAATAGCTGACCAGAGAGGTACAGATAGTCTGCATTTGTTGGGCCTTCTAGGGAAAAGCTTCCACAAAATCATGATTTCTTTCACTGTAGTCTCTTATATTGCACATCAATGTAAGAAATAGCTATTCTAAAACCACCAAGAGCCCCCCTAAAATATGAACCCCTCAAAGGCATGAGCCAGATCTCAGTTATTCTGTCTCACTGGGGAACAAGTACATAGTAGTGATGCAATATATTTGTTACATGGATACATGAAAGAATGAACACAGCTCTCCTCTCAACTCCCCCTTTTGTGTGGATGTTTTGATAAACACCACGTGTACACTTTCACACCCTCATGACAACCCTTTAAAGTACAGACTCAGGGAGGGAAAGTAACTTACCCAACATTACATACCTGATTAGAGACTGGATGTAAATTCAGGTCTGACTTCACAGCCCATGGGCTACACCACTGGTTCTGAAAAAAAGGTGAAAATCAGAGTCATCTGAGGAACTTATAAAAACTGTTCTGTACTTTCAGAGCACATCTTTCTGTCCTGTTCTGACTTTTAGAACCTACGTTCAATCGATCACACCCCACACTGAGTATAGACACTAACAAAGGACACTAACTGGGTTACGAGTGAGTCACAACCATACTGCAGGAGGCAGAGGAAGGAAATGGTCCTCATAAACTCAACTACACTGTTTTGATTGAATACTGTAAGACTAAAGAAAAAGGAACTACATAAAGATTATGTGTTTTTCATAGGGGTATAGGCTGGCCATTCTGAAACTGCTCGATGCCCCAGGTTTCTCAGTGTGGGCACTACTGGCATTTTGGACCATTTAATTCTAGTGTGGGGGCTGTCCTGGGCACATCTCTGGTCTGTCCTCACTAGATGCCATTAGCACTCCCCCACCTGAGTTGCGACAATGGACTATGTCTCTAGACAATGCCAAATGGCCTTTGGGGACAAACCGACCTCCAGTTAGAGTCATTGCTTTTTGTGTCTACAAGATTTGAACAAACAAGTAAATGTATTATAGATAACAGGAGACAAGTCTCTCACTGCTGGAGAAACAAGTGACCAATAAGATGGGCGATTTTAGAAAGAACCCTATCCTATGGGATTTGAGTCAGAGGTATGTAGATACTGAAACGAATGTGTGCAGCTGAGTCTGCATGCATATATGCGTTAACTAGCTCCGTCCAGCCAGATAGACCTACGAGCAAAGACACCCAAACAGCAGGGGGCACATCCAGCATCCTGATCTTGGTTTCTACATGCCACTCTCCAGTACAGGAAACCCTTGGAGTTCTAGAGCCATTGCAGAAAAAAACAGAAGATGAGCTTGGAATATTTTGTGATGCGTCAAAGTATAAATGTGCTAAAAAAAAAATGTGGAAAGAAGACAAAAGCTAATTCAAAGGAGTTCACCATGGCCACGGTTGCAACCATCTGAGCAGGAAAACAAATTAATGATGGTACTGGATGAAAGCCCACAGGGTCCAGTAAACACTCCTGAGGCCACACTGACATAAATAAGTAAATGAGGGGAAAGAGACAGTTCTTCCTTACAGTCGCTTTCCAATTATTAATGTGGAGGGTAAAAATAAACAATCAAGCAAGTTCCATAGTGATACTTGTTGCAGGCAAGAGTCACAGCGTTTTGATGAGAATCAGGATATTTACAAAGTCATCAAGCTATAGATGCTGTTGACTATAAGAATCACTACTATGGTAACCTGGTATCTGCCTAATGGTAAGGTTTGTTGAGAAATAGGATAGTTGCAAAGTACCTCCTCACAAGATACTTAAATACAAAGGAACAAAGAGTAACTTTACAGAGGGAAACAAACCTGGGTGGACACCATAAGAAATCAAAGTTACCATCACCAGTAATAAGACTTGACATCATCTACCCCTTATAGGATCTACTAACAGGTATATAACTCTTGTGGTATTTCGGCCCCAATGCATAACCTCAGTCTAATACGAGAAAACATCAGATATACCCAAATTGAGAGACATTTACCAAAAAAAAAAAAAAAAAAAAGGCTCTTCAAAATTGCCAACATCATGGAAGATAAAGACTGAGGAGCTACATCACACCCTGAAAAAGACTGGGCAAACAAGACAATTGAGCACAATGTGGGTTCCTAGATCAGATCTGGGCCACAAAAAGGATATAAATGGGAAAACTGGCAGAATTCAAATAAGGCTTATAGATCAGTTAATAGTATTATGACAATGTTCATTCCCTTGTTTTAATAATTGTGCTATCGTTACATAGGGTAACATGAAGAGAAGCTAAGTGAAGGGTCAAGGGGACCTCTCTAAGTTTGTTTTTTAAGATTCTATTTATTTATTTTATGGGGGGGTGAATGGGGACAGGGTAGGGGGCAGAGGGAAAGGGAGAATCTCAGACAGATTCCCCACAGAGTGAGCACACAGCCTGACCCCGGGCTCTATCCCTGGACCCTGAGATCGCGACCTGAGCTAAAATCAAAAGTCAGGCACTCGATGGACTGAGCCACCCAGGCGTCCCTGTTTTTTGAAGGTTTAAGATTATTTCAAAATAAATACTTGGGAACAGAGACCAGGGCATTTATGTTTTTAAACATCTCAAGTGGGGCACCTGGGGGATCAGTCATTAAGCATTTGCCTTCGGCTCAAATCATGATGCCGGGGTCCTGGGATCGAGTCCCACATCAGGTTACCTGCTCAAAGGGAAGCCTGCTTCTCCCTCTCCAGCTCCCCCAACCTTGTATTCCCTCTCTTACTATCTCTCTCTGTCATAAATAAATAAAATCTTTAAAAATAAACAAACAGACATCTCAAGTGATTCTGGTGAAGTCACCCGGCAGGAGTTTAGAAGCCTGCACCAGCAATCAGAGTCTAGAGAAAAGAGTGATGGACGAAATACGAACCCCTGACTGACAGCCAGCTACAGGACAGGTCCTCTACTGGGGAGCCAGGGTGAGAAAGACAAGACGGGTCCTTGTCTTCCGAGCTGTTACTCTGCCGGCTCTCCTCATCATCAGAGTCCCTTCCCCTCGTGGTGTGTCACTGGCCCCCACCACGATGCGGGTGCAGCTGGCATGTGTCTACCCAGAAGCACAGCTAGCACACCGTCCAAGTTCGCCATATTCTGGCACCGTGATCCTCCACACTGCCCACTTCCAGAGCCATGGCTGTACTTCCACTGAGCCTTGTGCAAGCACACGTACGAGTCTATCTGCAGAATTAACAGCTCTGTGCGTGCTTGTGGCTGAGCCACTATGTCTTGTAACTCCTGCACAGTCTGTCTCTCAACAATCAATCTGCAAAGTGGAAAAAATAAGGTTTCTATACAACACTTGGTCCGTGTGCATACCCTTGGTCTCTGTTGCAGCTGTGTCTAAGTCTTTTCAATTATTTTCTTAAGATAAATGTTTATGCTTGGAATTCCTGGGTCAGAGGCTATGAACATATTTACGGTGCTTAAGCTGTCCTCTGCATCCTTCAACCTGACAAGGAATGGGCCTCCTCTTCTTTAAAAAAAAAAAAACAAAGAAAATGTCAGTTTAAAAGACATGAAATTATTCTCCTGCCATATTTTAACTGGCATTTCTTTAGTTAACAGTATCCTTCCACTAATCTAATTACTGTACAGACACACATCTTTCCTAAAGGCTGGTCCAGGCATAATCTTACCTATTTCAGTAAAGCCTTTACATGGGACAGACTTTGACATTCTTTCTGAAAAAGTCCCTTGGAAAACTTTTATCTTCTGATAATATTTTTAATTTCTCCACTGGATATTAGTTTCTGCGAATCTGTACAGATCCTCTATGCTGATGTTTAACATACTTTCAGTTATTGCCATTATCATTTATGTCCAGTGAGTCTGGCCCGTCAGAGAAATAAGGAATTTATGTAATTCCATATAAACCGTTTTCTTTGTTCTGTCAAATTCCATGGAAAACCAAGTCAGACAAATGGGAAATGCCCTAAGAGAGGAACACATAGGAAGTTGTAAAACTACAACAAAGGAAACATAGAGAGAATTTCTCCATTTACAAAGTTATAAAGAGAAAAATTCAGTTCCTTTGCATTAACCTGCAAATTTGCAGTATTTTTTCTTCCCTCACCGGACAAAGATGCTTTCAAATGTAATGCAGACAAGACAATATCCCACCAGACATCAATCTCCTCCTTTTGCCATGCCATTGGAGTCCTCCAGATACCTGCCATTCCCAAATTACTACACTAGTTAGAGAAAATGTTCCTCTGTGTTGCAGATGATTGGAATGACCCTTGAGTAGTAAAGAGAAATTCACACACCTGCAAGGAGGAATTAAATTTAGAAGCTAAATCTAAAGAGATGAGAAAAATCGTTGCAAAATAACATTATTATACTTATTTGCAATGTGCATTTTATCTTAAATGATCTGCAATGTACAAGTATTTTGTTCTTGATTATCTAATGACATGAACACATACGGTAACGAGACCATGATGGAAAAGATTAAGAAAAGCTAAAAATTCTCCATGTCAGGCTCAGAAGGAAATGAGACAATTCCTTGTCTGCTCATGTAGTACTTCCTTTCAAGATGGGGCAAGGTTCTAACTCAACAGAAAAGAAAGAAAAGCTGTTTTTCTAAATGTTAATTATTGAAGTCCCCACCTCAAAATTTCCTTTAATCAAATGTTTTCATTTGGTAAAATAGTCTTATTTCATGTGTACGTTTGGATACATAAACCCACACAAATATATATAAAGGTACCCATTCAAAAATCTGTTCCTGTCTACTTTTTCCAAAATAGGAACATCTTTTGTGTCCCTTCCAAAATCTAGAATTAAAGAGTGTCAAAGTAGTATTCTTCCTTTGAACCAAAACCAAAGGTACAATGATCTGTAAAAATACTTGAGCACAACAACTGAAAATACTGTGTTGCTAATTTTACAAGCTCAAATTATACCCCAATGTCAGCTGCCTCTGCCAATAAATCCACAACAGAGCCACAAATGCAGCTCCTCCCTCACCAATGTAAGGAGAACTTCAGAAAGAAAAGACAGAAGCTCTTGTCTGAACCTCCCGTTCCTTCCTTAAAATCTGTGGATGTGAACAATGGGAATGGTTCTGCATCAATGGTGGTAAAAGGTATGGAGCAGTTCCCTGTCATGGGACACAGCAGGCCCGTGAGTGTTCTGGAAGTAACGTGAGTTCAAACCAGCTTTCCTGTACAGCACACTCTCCTGCTGCTCTTCTAGAGGGCCACACGGCCCCCTCTTCACACTCAGGAAAGCTGCACTTCCCCCAGAAGGGCTCAAGCATCCCTGAGTAGTTCGGACAGGAAAGTGTTGCCCTCTCTTTGGAAAACATAGGTGCTTTCTCTGGAACAAAGGGCCTTCTTAGACTGCTAGGAAGGCCAAGGCAGTCTGCATTCCCTCGCATGGGAATATCGTCCCAGAAGTTACTTTAAGTAA